TTTTCCAAACAAAAGTACCCACTGAGCCATGGTGTCATTCATGACGGTAAAGGTAGGCCTTGTGTCAAGGTAGGGATCTTCAGAGACCGGTGTTACCTGATTGGCCAAGCTGGAGGATAGTATGGGAAGCACTTCTTGTGGCCAACCATTCAACACTGAATGGTTGGCCAAGCTTGACGATAGTATGGGCAGCAATTCTTGCTGACTGTTATCCAGTAAGACCCTCCCGACCACCCCTGGCTGCTGCCATCCCAGTGACAGCCTATTTGGGTTTTGTGCCTTGGCACTCAGGTCATCGTTCTTCATTTGGTTGTGATCCCTTTGCTCTCTGATTTGGGGTGCCTTGAGACCGTACAAACCTTGAAGATACTCTAGTGTTTGTGAAGCTTCAACCTAGCACCCTCTTGCTTACAGAACACTGGTTCTGTCTCTACAGGTTCCTCCGCCATCCTCCTCCAGGGCTGCTCCTAGAATGGTTCAACCAAACAACATGGAGGAACCAATGTGTTTGATAGAGAACAACCCGGGTGAGAAACTGCAGGTCAACCAGGAAGCCCTACAGCTCTTGCAGAGAATCAACCAGCCAGTGGTAGTGGTGGCCATTGTGGGGCTGTACCGCACTGGCAAGTCTTACCTCATGAACAAGTTGGCAGGAAAAGATAAAGGAGGTGAGACTGTGGGATGTATTCACGCTCTTGTAACTGACAAAGATTTTGGCTCCATTGGCACTGCCTCTGTCATGAACGATTATTGCCCTCACTGTTGGAACATCTCAGAAAATCCTGCGTTCCCTGTACTTTAGAGTCTTTGGAGGCTCTGTGCTAACCCTCTTTCTGTGGTAGAGGGCACATATAACCAGATTCTTTTGTGTGTAGAAACACTTGGGCCTCAAACACAGGCTTATGAAAACAGTTAAAGTACTTCAGCGACAGGCAGAAGGCTGAAATTTGGTACGCCCATAGTCCAAGGCATTCTGGTTTCTAGAGCAACGTGAAAAGGAGACGTGTGTACATCATTTCCCTCAAAATGGAGAATGAATTGTAGGCCCAGGTCATTTAAGTGCTTCCAGGGCTCCCAGAAAACTGAAATTTGCTATGTCAAGTATCCCAAGATGCCCTGACTACAAAAGAAACATGAAAATGGGCTGTTTCCAAATCTGTTGGTCAAAACCTGGGGTATGGATTTTGCCTCAGAACAGAGAACAGGAGGACTGATAGGCTGCACTGAAGTGCTTGATAGCTGGGGGGCTACTGGTTAAAAGAGATTTCCTAGAGCATTAGTTCCAACTTGAATTTTGATCGCCACAACTGAAGGGAGATGCAGCTTTGAAAAAGGGTACGGAAACATGGTTCTATGGCTGGGATACACATCGTTACATAACTTACAATTGCTGATCTGTTATATAAATTTGTCATGTTGACAACTAAGGAAATAGTAGTGTTACATTATAATCTTCATTTATAGCTCATGATTGTTGCATTTTGAGAGTTTGGGAGCTTTATGTGTTACATAGTGACTCTAGCTTGGAGCTTTTCACTTTGTTGTAAATACTTTTGGAGTTGGTATACGAAAACTTTGTAACTGGATATATATTAAAACCAGGGCTCGTTTTGTAGAAAAAGCCCAGCAGGAACTCATTAGCATAATAGGCCACTGAAGTGCTTGATAGCTGGGGGGCTACTGGTTAAAAGAGATTTCCTAGAGCATTAGTTCCAACTTGAATTTTGATCGCCACAACTGAAGGGAGATGCAGCTTTGAAAAAGGGTACGGAAACATGGTTCTATGGCTGGGATACACATCGTTACATAACTTACAATTGCTGATCTGTTATATAAATTTGTCATGTTGACAACTAAGGAAATAGTAGTGTTACATTATAATCTTCATTTATAGCTCATGATTGTTGCATTTTGAGAGTTTGGGAGCTTTATGTGTTACACTGTGACTCTAGCTTTTCACTTTGGAGTTGGTATACGAAAACTTTGGTAACTGGATATCTATTAAAACTATACACTTGTTTGGTATTTCAAAATATTTTTTAAAGGCATTGATACGAGACTTGCTAATTGCATTCGCAGTGTTCATTTGTTTTTGATAATCAGAACAGAGATGTGCATTCCAAAGCAGAACAAGTCTGCGGGGGCAGAATGTTAAATTGTGAGGATTCCATTGTCTTATCATGTGTCTCGATAAAACTATAGTTTGTGGGACCGGGGATGATTTCTGAGAGCAACCAGAAGTGTGTATTTATTCTGGCTGAATACAAGTTTCATTTACTGATATACCGTAACAGGGAAATGGTAGAACCACACGGTTCCCCAGGGGGCCGACCTCCATTTCCTTGTCTTCTCTGTTCTCCTCCTCCAGGATTTTCTCTGGGTGCCACAGTACAAGCAAACACCAAGGGCATCTGGATGTGGTGTCGTCCTCACCCCAGAAAGCCTGACCATACCCTGGTGCTATTGGACACGGAAGGACTGGGCGATGTGGAGAAGGTAAATGGGGATGAGGGAAACAACGACAAGGGAAGGCCACTGTGGAGGTTTTGCTTGCAGGAAAACTACACCACTCCAGACTACCCTTAAGGGGTTGGGAGTCTCTTGGAAATCCCTTCAGACTATGCAAGTAGCAACAGAGTTCCCCATTGCATGTACGGTGGAAGACTAGGTCCATTCCCTTGTCACGGACCCAATGTTTTGTGCTAAGCATCTGCATCCTCTCCCTGCAGAGCAATGTTCAGAACGACTCGTGGGTGTTTGCCCTCTCCGTTCTGCTTAGCAGCACCTTTGTGTATAACAGCATGGGCACCATTGACCAGTTTGCTTTGGAGAAACTACAGTATCCTTTTTTTGGAAAATTCAGGCATCCGGATCCCCTCTAGCTCTTCTGCTTTGCTGGCAGAACCAGAGTTAATGAAACTGGGGGGGGGGCCTTCCTGTCAGGACTTTGGTGTGACAATAATTGTGTGTGTGATTCCTAAGCTCCTTCAAAATGTGGAACAAGAAGGGAGTGAAATGTAGGTATTAGAGATGACCAAGCAATACCTCAGTAGAACTGGAAGTAAGATGTTAGATTCTCATTAGAGATGTGAGATGGTTGAAAAGTTATTAGGCCGTTCTGGGGGAGCCGCATCTTCATTTCCTTAGCCCCATTCCAGCTACGTGACGGAACTGACTGAGCTTATCAAGGTTAAGGCCTCGGGCAGGCAGAGCTGTGAGGAAGACGACGAGATTCCTGATGACTTCATCTGGTTCTTCCCAACTTTTATCTGGGCTGTGCGTGATTTCACCCTGCAGCTGGAGTTGGATGGACGCCCCATCTCCGGGGATGAGTACCTGGAGAACGCCTTGCGGAGGAGGGAAGGTACTTTGGGAAGCTGATGGGTGAACAGCTTTAATGGGCTAGGCTTTGTTCCTTATACCTGATTAGTCGCAAGATGTGGGCTAAATCCTGAACTTGCTTCCCTCAAGCCAAAGAGTTTGGGAATAAACACCTTTCAGTCATCCTGTGTGAGTTTGCACCCACCCTCCAAAACAACAGACCTTTACTCCAGCAACATCACTGGAAAAGTATTTTTTCTTGATAGGTTGGGACATGGGGAAGAGAACAGTACTAATTTACTCCCTACTGTGTCAGTAGTGAAGAAAAGAGATTTTATTTTATTGCTGGTTAAACTATTACCCTTGCGAGCCTTGGTGTGTGGAATCAACATGCAGACTCATAGCTACCTGAAGAATAATCACGTCTGATCCGAAGACGGATGTGTGTATTTGTGGAAATGATTAAACAGTGGTTGTTTATTCCTTCTAGAACCAGGCCCTCTGGTATACTGAATTTCCATAAATAACGTAATCCTCAGGCTATTATAAGAAACAACTGTAGGCCCACGATACTTGTGGGGGGAATTCCCTCCCCCTACTTTCTTGATGGACCCATGCTCAGGGCAACTCCCAGACCTGCGGGTCCAGTGCAGCTCCCAGGCTGTGCCACTGGCAGTCGCATGCCCAGTGTGGTTCCCAGATTTCACTGGCATTCTCAGGGCAGCTCCTAGGCTGTGCTGCTGCTGTCACCACCGCCAGGCCCAGCACAGCTCCCAGGCTGCATGGACTCAGTGCAGAGCGCCTGGCTGTGCAGCCACCACCACTGGACCCAGCGCAGCACCCTGGAGCCACCGCCACGAACCACCTGAGGGTAGGCGTGTTCTCTGCACTTGCTCAGAGAATGCTACTTTTGGGGAGATTTAAACCCCTCGTGTGTGTATATATATACATTTTTTAATTTTCTGATTTTTTCTGCAAACCTGAGGAGTGCTCCAAGTTTGCTGAAAAACCTGTTTAGCTTCTGTGTGGCCCCAGTCTGCAGATTTAGCTATCCGGAGATGGGGACCACACATTGCTAATAGTATATAGATAGAGGATTGTTGCAGGTTATCTTTTCCATGGGTCTTTATGATCATAGGGAACTGTTTAGATCAGGAATATTCTAGAATAATGACATTTTTTAAAAAGTTGCACTTCTCAAAAGTCGGACAGTTAGAAATAAAAGTTTCCTAGCAAATGCGCACTCAGTGGAAAAGGGAAGATAAAAGCGACTGGACTGCAAAATTGAGGGCTGACCCTACCATTAAGTGTGGTGAGGCATCCCACAGTACGTGTCGGGTTCTGGGGCATCATAAAAGGACTGCAAATTATCAGTGGTGTGGTTTTCTAAATTAAATTTCATCACCTGGTGGAGTGGAAGTTTGGATTTTCTGCCTCAAGCACTCTTGGCTGTGTTTGCTCAGTAGATCCGAAGGGACTCTTGGTGTGGCCACAGTGCAGGAAGCTGGTAATGGAAGAAACCATCTCATAAGGCCTGTTGGTTTGACTGAATGCATCTACGATTCTCTCGCAGGCTCCCCTGAAAAGCTAGACGTTGCCAAGAAGTACATCCGCGAGTACTTCCCCAGCCGCAAGTGCTTTGTCTTTGACCGCCCGGCCACACGCCAAGAATTGGTGCACCTGGAAGATTTGCCTGAGAGGAAGCTAAACCCCGACTTCATAGAAGAGGCACACCGATTCCGGAGCTATATTTTTGAGACGGCTGAGGCCAAAGTGATCCCGGGGGGCCACACAGTGACGGGGACATGTAAGTGGAAGCAGAAACGGATGTGGCGAAAACAGTCCTGAAATATCACAGACAAGGAAGGTAGGGATGGAATATGGAAGCTGATGGATGGATGGTATAGGGCAGGGCGTCCCCAACCGCACCCATAGCTCAAAAGAATCTATTCTTCGGCACTCGGCCTTCCTTATAGTCCATCTCTTGCAGCCATACATGACTACTGGGTGCTACAGCTTACCTATTTATTTATTTATTTTATATTATTCTGTTTTTATCCCGCCCTTTCCGCGGACGAGCTTAGGGTGGGTTACAGAGTCAGAAAACCTCAACAATCGTTAAAATAATTAAAACAATAATTTAAAACGGTAGTAGAAACAGCAATCAAGGTTCATGTTGCTATGCTCAGTTTAGGCTGATCAAAGAGTCAGTGATTTCAGGAGGGGAGGCCAGAGATGGAATTGGATGTCCGCCGCCTCAACCGAAAGCCCAGCGGAACAGCTCCATTTCATAGGTCTTGCAGAATTGTAATAAATCCCACAGGGCCCTGATCTTGAGTGGGAGCATGTTCCACCAGGCTGGGGCCAGGGCAAAAAAGGCCCTGGTTGTGGCTAGTCTGACATCTTTGGCGTCGGGGACAACCAGTAAATGCTGGTCGGTTGAGTGCAATTCTCTGTGAGGCACATATGTGCAGGGGTCATTTACTGCAGGAGTGCATGGGAGCGGAGCTCCGGCAGTAAAGAGCCCAGGGGGCAGGCACATGCAACAAGCCCCACCCCCTCCTCCCAGCAGCCCTGTCAGAGCAAGAAGCAGCCAGGTAAGTTGCAGACCCTAAACCCCCTGCCCCCTCGGGCCCAAAACAGTCCAGTGGGGCCTTTAAAACCAGGTTTTATTCAGGTACAAG